AACAAATTTTTAAACTTATTCTCTATTTCACACTGTTTTAATTTTTTTTTAATTCTTTAGGTGATTGAAACAATTTAAAGAAATAAAAATTTGATCCTTGATTGTGGCTAGGTTTGTCAACGGATTGAGTTTGGATTTATCCGAATCCTACATCAAAAGTCTGATTTGAATTCGATTCGATAATTTGACAAACTTTATTTTCATGGTCCATATCTAAATTCGATAACGATCTAAAAAACCAATATGAATAACTTAATTTAGGAAAAATTACACCTAGTCCACTGTCACTTAATCACCTAAACCCCATGATATTTAAAATATTACACACACAATTCCTTGAAATTTGTATGGGCATAACACATGGACCCCCTATCGTTAAATGTCCGTTAGTAAATTATGTTTAAACCCCTAAAATTTGAAACGTATAATATTTAAACCCCTTAATTTTAAAATATTATATTTATACCAAAAATACTCCAATTAAAAATAAAATATCAAATATTTTAAATTTTATAACTAAAATTCATATTGTACTATGTCATTTATTGAAATAAAATCAGAAATAAAAATTCAAAATTTTCACTAAAAAAATCATAATTAATATTGTTGATGACAAAACTTGGACGACCTCTATGTTAGTTTGGACTTGAACTAAATAGACTTTTTACCTTGGGTTAATTTTTTTATCATCGAATACGAACATATAAAATAAGACTAATAAACACATTTATATGTTCTATTATATCATCTATTTACATAAAAATCAAACAAAATCCTAATTTTTTGAAAAAAAATAGTAATCAGTATAAATATATTAAAAAACTCAATTCAACACTTATTTGTATATAATTATACTGTCTATTGAAATAAAGCAAAAAAATCTAACAAAAGGTCAAACTGTATTGAATTCAATATTTTATATTTTTAATTGAGGTAATTTGGTTGTTTAATAAATTTTGTTTTAAATTTGAGAGGTCTAAATGTTATACGCTTATAAACTTTAGAGGGTTTAGATATTATTTACTATTGGATATACCGAAGAACATTAACGATAAGAGCTTAAGTGTTATGCACGTACAAACTTCAAGGGTCTATATATAATATTTCGAGGTCTAAGTGATCAAGTAACAAACTTTTGGAAGTTTAGATGTAATTTTTCTTTTAATATTTAACTAAATTTTAACAAATTACATATAAATTTTGCCTAAATTTCTCAAATAATCACTTACTTTTTTTAATAATTATATAAAAATATATATATATAAATATTTCAAATCAGCTCATAATTAGATCGGATATAAGTACATCTAAATCCGAATCTGTGATATATAAGATATCGGATTCGAATTTGGGTTGAAATAATGAATAAAAAAAATATCAATCCACATCTAGGTAATCAGATTTAGACTTGGGTCACGTCGGGTCAGATTATGATCAAAATTCAACCCATTCACACCTAATTGTGATGGTTGTTGATCCTGTATGATGCCTTATCTCTGTTACAAATTTCCTTACTCTCTCAATGAAAAAAATGCATAGGAGGACTAAAAAATGCAATGGCAAAAACGCGGGTTTTTAGGTCTATGTTTGAATACTTGGAAATTGTAGAATTCAAAGGCCACTCAAATTGGTCTGCCATTACTGAGTTCTTCACCAATCAGATTCATATATATAAGCCATTTTCAAAGCTTTGAGTGCTCAATTTGGAGGAAGACCAGCAGTCTATGATACTGAAAATGGTAATGGCATTGACCCATTTTGTCATCTTTAGAAAACAAATGGGAGGATTGAATGCAATAATTTTTCCATACTAAGAAAAATTTTGATTTTCAGACATGATTAGCACACTTTTTTTTTTTTTTTTTATGCCTTTCAAGTCTTTTGATTTCCCATCGATTGAGCTCTTGATGGAATGAATGGAATAAGAGCTGTTTTCAAACCTGAACCAGGTCCAGGTCTTGTTTATCCTTCAGGGCTAGGAGCTGCTATTTCATTTTTGGATGACGGTGTGATAATGCCAGTCGAAAGGGAAAGGCGATGACATTCTTGTTGGAATCTATTAAATTATGTATGCATTATTTGATGTATTGCAATCGGGTTGGGTGGAATATATTTGGGATATTGAGAATGAGATTTGATTAGCCGAGTTATATTATAATTTCTTCAAATTATAATTGCAAGATCAACTATATGAGGAATATATATTTGTCTTTTTGTTACAAAATCATAGGAAAGTGTATGAAAGGTCTCCATTGCATCAAATTAAATAAAAAAAAAATGAACCATTTAGACGTCAAGTACTTGACTTTATCTCTTCTAGTTATTTTCGAGAATGTTTCTTATTTACTTTTAGATTAAAAATAATAATATTTTTTCTAGCTCTTTTTACACCATATCACGGATTTTCTCAAAATCAATTAAACTTTCATAATTAATTCCATGAAATATCTCTAATAAAAGAGTTCCCAGTAAAAAGAAAAAAGATACATACTAAAAAATTCTTGTTGTGTTATAGATAAATAGATTAAGATCCTCTTCATCATTTTGTTTACACAATTTTATTCAATAGTAGATCACTCACTATGTACTCATGTAATATCCACTATTTATGCGTGGATTCCTCATTTTTATACTGTTGATGATCTCTTATTGATTAAAAGTGCAATAGAGAGGAGTGAATATATGTCTTGGTTAACCTAAATGATTAGTTCAAGCGGTAACAATAATAAATTGTAAATCTAAACGTTTTGAATTTAAATTTTAGCGATTCTTGGACCTAGACCATGAATACCTTAATCTACTCACATGAATGACTTGTGTAGACGGAAATTTTACTTTTACACAATTACCATTAAAAAAAAACTCTTTTTATTCATTTACCCTTAATAGATAATTAAATTTCATTAATTTAAAATTTAATTTATTAAAATCAATTTTCAATTTAATCAATTTCATCAGTTAATTTATCAATTAACATTTACTTTCATTAATTTAAATATTAATTTTATCACTCTACCACTAATTTCATCAATTTAACACTAAATAAATATATAATTTTATCAAATTAATATTTTAAAATTGAATTTTTTTAAATTAATATTCAATTTATTTAATTTAGAATTTAGTTTCATCAAATTGAACTTCAATTTCATCACACTAACACTAATTTCATCAATTTAACACAAATTAATATTTAATTTCATTAAATTAACATTTTAAAATTTAATTTTTTCAAATTAAACTCAAATTAGCATTTAATTTATTTAATTTAGAATTTAGTTTCATCAAATTGAACTTCAATTGGATAAAATTGAATGACAATTGTGTGGATGTAATGTTAATTTTATGCAATTGTATGTTAATTTGACAAGATTTAATTTTAATTTTAGAAATTTAATGGTCCCTATTGTAATTAATTTGATTAAATTGAATATTAATTTAGTGTTAATTTAATTAAATTGGACATGAGACTTGTTTGACCCTAAGATTAGTATTATTCAATAAGAGAATAAAGAATGTTTGGGTATATATTTACATTTAAAGGGAAAATTTATCATTTAAGAGAGAAAATTCGCTGACATCATCACTTTTTGGCTTTGTCGGAAAACGTTATTTACGGTAGAGGTAGTAATTGAAATAAACATATGAATTATAGTGGTGACAATCATATTTTAGAAACCATAGGGGTGTCTGTGTCCCTATAATTAAGCTATTTTTTTTTAGGGGATGTTAGTGAAATTAAGTGTCATGGTTCATGTGAATATACACCATGGCATGACATAAAGATGGATGAATGATGTTGGTGGTGATGACGATGATGATGATGAGAGAGAAAAATTGGCGTGGGAGATGGGGCATACTATTCAAAATCGAGGGAGGCGCATGCAAAACACCCCCTCATTATTCTGTCCTGGCTCTCTATTTTCACCCCCAAGCAACCTCTTTCTCTTACGTTGTTTCAGATTTCCCCAATTCCAACCTACGCATGACATTATCTCCACTGTCCACGTGCCCCTATCGTTTCTGCAATTTTCTCACTTGCCTTCAATCCTTTTTGTTTTTTTTAGGCATAAGTTTTTTTGTAAGACATTATCCTTAGTTATTAAATACTACAATCATATCATTTTAATTGATTATTTTGGTAGAGATTTTTATTTTATAATATTTTTTAAACAATTAAAGTACTAATGATTCTGCTCATGAATCCCGACTTTGCATGACTCTCTAAAAATTATATTTATATTCTCGAGAAAAAGGTATCAGACGAGTGACTATGAAAAATTTTGTATTTGAATATCAAGCGATTAAATTTGATAAATTTTAGATTTTTAAAATTTTCATAAAAATGTGAAAACCAATCACATGAGAATGATCGCAAGGTCAATGACATGTTAAAAACAATTGGATACCTATGTATAGAAAATAAAAGTTAATTAAAAAAACTCAAAAAAGAATAAAAATTGAGAAAAGAGGGAAATATTATTATTGTTGGGGAAAAAAAGTAGGAGGGCATTAACAAGAAAAACGTGGGATTCTTGCAACACGCGATTGAAGAGCAAGTGAGATTCTTTGCTTTGCTTTGTGAGCACAGAGCGCTGAGCTGAGCTGCCATGCCAAAGATGTTAGCTTTTTTAAGTTCAAGCACAGTCCAATCCAACTGCTCTAAATTGAACTGAGAAAGCTGGCAAAGGGACCAGAGAGAGAGAGAGAGAGAGAGAGAGAGAGAGAGAGGAGCCAAAATGATGATGGAGTAACCAAAAATGGTGTCTGCTTGCTGTCTTCTCTTTTGGGGTTTCTGTTTCTCTGACCATATCATTTCGTGTATATATGCCAAGGAGAGAGAGAGATCTGACTGAAAAAATTTGAGTTTTTTTGTGTGGTTTATTTATTTTGTATATGATATACAAGACTGTGGTGGTCCTTAACTTCGTTGAGGTGAATATACAGAGGGAGAGTGAGAGATAGAGAGAGTAATTCGAAGACTCTGCCGGTGTTGGTGACCTGAATTGACAAATTTTCCTGATTTGCTGCTACGTACGGCGACGGACGGTTGATCTCGCGATCCGATAATGGAAGGAGATCTGCGTTTCGTGCTTCACGCTGCATGGTTGTGAGGGAACGAAGAAGACGACAAAGTTCCACTTGCTTCTTCAAAACAAGGTAATGCTGTTTCTCTCTCCCTCTCCCCCTCTATCTCTATTTTTGTACCTATAAGTATATAAATATAGGCCACACACACATATGTGTGTGTGTGTGTGTGTTTCGATTATTCAGTCTTTTGAAAGCTTGTAAGCTTCAGACACAAGTTTCACCAAATATCAACTCTTATCTCATCCATGCGTGATCTGAGTGAACACGGCGTTCGAAGAACCTATAAGAATCACCAAAGCTGGGAGATTAGATTTTTCCTTTTAAGCTTCTTTATCTTTTAGAAGGGTTTTAAAACTATGGAAATGAAGAAAATTGCTCAGTTTAGTTATTGAAAATTGCAGATTGGGGGTTCACTAATGTAGAATATTAGTGTTTAATTAGCATAAAAAAGGGAGAGGGTTTTTTTGTTCTTGGAATCTGAATTTATTGTTGTGATTTTGAATTTTTTGAAGTGATGATGGCGGTGACTTCGGCCTGCAAAGACAGTAAAATGGGGATGGACAATGGGAAATATGTGAGATACACGCCGGAGCAGGTCGAAGCCCTTGAAAGGCTCTACCATGAATGCCCAAAACCCAGTTCTCTTCGCCGTCAACAGCTGATTAGGGAATGCCCCATTCTCTCAAACATTGAGCCGAAGCAGATCAAAGTTTGGTTTCAGAACCGAAGGTATATATTTGTAGATATAGTTCAAGTTCATTTCGTGATGAATTTTGGCCTTATTGGTGTCTGTACAATGGTTTTTTAATTGTGATTGATGAATTTTTGCTTATACAGATGTAGAGAGAAGCAGAGGAAAGAGTCATCGCGCCTCCAAGCTGTGAATAGGAAGTTGACGGCGATGAATAAGCTGTTGATGGAGGAGAACGATAGGTTGCAGAAGCAAGTTTCACACTTGGTGTATGAGAACAGCTATTTTCGCCAACAAACTACTCAGAATGTAAGCAATAAAAATTTCACTCTTTCGAGCCCATCCACTTAAATTTGTGATCTGAAAAGTTTCTATTTCATTCCGTTTATTTGTTTATAGCCTTTGTTCGTAACAAATATCATAACCCCCATGCCTTCTCTCTTTCTCTCAATTTTCATTTTTAATAATATGTTTCCAACATTATATTTTCGATGATGTCTCTAGTTCCTAAAAGTGATCTCTAGCAAGGGAGCTTAAACTTGGTTTCATGTCACTATTTTAAATCAAAATTATAGTTTTCTTGGCAACAGATTCAGAGTGATCAAATTTTGAAACCAATTATAACTTCCGGTTTTTTTTTTTTTTTGAAACTAATTGCATGGTTTTATGACATTTAATAACCATAAGCCGTTGTTGTGTTGTAGGTGACCCTTGCCACCACAGACACTAGCTGTGAATCGGTAGTGACTAGTGGTCAGCGCCATCTGACTCCTCAGCGCCCACCAAGGGATGCAAGTCCTGCAGGGTTAGTGGAGAACGCTTCTAGTTTTTGGGTCTGTTTAACTTTTTTTTTTATTTAATGGTTTTTTTTTTGTAATGCCTAATGAGATTGTACTTGGATGTTTTCTAGACTTATGTCCATTGCAGAGGAGACTTTAACAGAGTTTCTATCAAAGGCCACTGGAACTGCTGTGGAGTGGGTCCAAATGCCTGGGATGAAGGTCACTGCTCACATGTCAATTGTCGAATATGTTAATCTGCGCTCCATTCACCTTGATGGTGTTCTGAAATAAAACTAATAAACAAAATAAATAATCTTTCTAAGGAAACTGATATACTATTATTGTTTTTGTGTTAAAATTAATCAATTTCTCCTTTTTTTTTTTTGGTTTAGAAAATGACAAAATTTTATTGAATAATCGTTTGTTTTCTTTTATTATCTCAATCTTGTGAAAAAAGTGGACATTAGTTTTAGGCATGCTGCAATTTATCCTGATCAACTGTATCTTATAGTCCTCTGCTTTTTTAACAAAAGATCTATTGTTGATCTATGCAGCCTGGTCCGGATTCCATTGGAATCATCGCTATTTCTCATGGTTGCACTGGTGTAGCATCACGTGCATGCGGCCTTGCGGGTCTAGAACCTACAAGAGTAAGGACTTTCTAGGTCCACTCAAATGGGCGCAGTTTTCTTCTTAAATTTGTAGTTGACTAATTGGTGATTTTCCATCCATCCAGGTTGCTGAACTCCTCAAAGATCGGCCTTCATGGTTTCGTGATTGCCGGGCTGTGGATGTTCTTAATGCCTTGTCTACTGGGAATGGTGGAACCATTGAACTGCTTTACATGCAGGTTGGTGCTTTTTTTGTGATCATGTGTCTTTACGTGTATCGGGTTGACTTACCTAACAAAAAAATTATTGTGATTATGTGATTCAGCTGTATGCGCCAACTACCTTGGCGCCAGCTCGTGATTTCTGGTTATTGCGCTATACATCAGTTTTGGAGGATGGTAGCCTTGTGGTACGTATCTAATGAACTTATGTTTCTAGCAACAAAAAAAACAGAAAGTTTTTTTCTTCTTCTCTCGTCATTATACTTTTTATGATGCCCATGATTACATATCCCATATTAGGTATGTGAAAGATCACTGAACAACATTCAGAATGGTCCCAGTATGCCACCTGTGCAGCCTTTTGTGAGAGCAGAAATGCTGCCAAGTGGGTATCTGATAAGACCCTGTGAAGGGGGTGGTTCAATTATTCATATAGTTGATCATATGGATTTAGAGGTATGCAACTCAACATCTTGGATTTAGATACATGCTTCCCTGCGCTTGGTAAAATAACAATTTTAATTTACTGTATTAAACAGCCATGGAGTGTGCCTGAAGTGCTGCGTCCATTGTATGAGTCATCTACGTTACTTGCACAGAGGACAACAATGGCGGTATGAAGTATTAATTATATCTATCCCTTCTTCATGGATGTTGGAATTCTTTTACTGCTAAAAAGAATCACATGTAAAACATCAAACAGTGTGAAGTATTCAATCTTCTAAGAATCCCTAGTTGCAATTTGCTTATTTTGAGAAGAGGCGACTGAAAGAGGAGGGATTTGCTCTATCTGCCTCCTCCTCTTCCCTGAAGTGAACAGTTAAATTTTAAAAATGTTAATATGTTTGTTAAATTTTTTGTATGTTTATTCGAAAAGTATGTCTTTTGACTTGATTCATACAAAGACTTAACGAGAAGGAGCTGGTACATGGCAGATCTATATCTCTAACATCACATTGAACTTTTCTTCTAGGCTTTACGCCAGCTGAGACAGATTTCCCAAGAGGTCTCCCAGGTGACTGTTAGTAACTGGGGGAGGAGACCTGCAGCTCTGCGTGCACTGAGCCAGAAATTAAGCAAGTAAGTTTCTTTGCTTGAGGTTTTTGCATCTGTCAGTCTGCTGAGTTCTAATTTATGAATATATTGCATGTTCTATTTTACAGAGGTTTCAATGAAGCTGTAAATGGATTCACAGATGAGGGATGGTCTATGACTGAAAGTGATGGTATTGATGACGTTACTGTTCTTGTCAACTCATCTCCTAGCAAAATGATGAGTGCAAATCTCTCTTATGCCAATGGATTTCCATCTGTGAGCAGTGCAGTGCTGTGTGCCAAAGCTTCGATGCTTTTACAAGTAAGTCTGGAAAATGATTAGCACATTTATAAGAAAAATGCAGTAATGAGTAAATGCTGATTTCTTTTTGAAGCTAATGCTTTGACCATGAGGCAATACTTGTGGTACAGTTGTTTAGATTCAATGAATGTTCATATTGGTGAACAAATAATGCCTAAATGATTTTATAGTGATTTCAGAGGGAAGTTGCAATTATGTCAAGAAAATATTGGCCACCTTATACTTTTTGTTCTGCAATTTCTGATAGAAAGCCATTTTAAAGAAGCTTTTCAATGTCATGAAACGCTGCAGTAGTGCATAAATACCAAACCTGCAAGTGTTACATATTTTGTGCCTAGCTAGATTCCTAACATCTCATTATCGGATACACTAATGGTGTAAGGAATTGTATGTTAATATGTTGGATACCAGAAAATGTTTTTTAAGATTGTGAGAGCATATATGCATGATTTAAATGGAGATATGAATTTAAATACAACAAAATGATCAGAGAGTTTGTGTATATGACATCGATGTCTTGATGAGCTATGCATCAATAGGTGAGGCACTTTACTACTTCATACATCAAGGTGGAATCACCAGTGAAACACGGATGATTTACGATTTATTTAGTCAACATACAACCTTTACTGGCCCAGTAATGGCAGGCATTTTAAATTATAGTCAAAATATTTACGTGACTGGCTTCTCGATCTTCTTGTTATTTACAGCTTCAAAGGTGTCACCATGATCATTCTTTTCATCATCACCCTGTGTATGATGATGATGATGCTACCGTCATGATACCTATTTTTCCCATGTTCTCTAATATTTCTTTCACAAAAGCCTGTTATTGCCTCACACATCAAGGTGGAAGCACTAGTAAAACACTGGATGATGTATAATTTTTTTTAATTGACAGACAACCTTTCCTGACCCAGCCATGCCAGGCATTCTAATTTACAGTCAAAACATTTGCATGACTGTCTTCTCGATCTTGTTGGTAGTTATGGCTTCAAAGACATCGCCATAATCATTCTCATCACGCTTCCCATGATGATGATGGTGATTATATTGCTATTGTCATGAAATAATCTATTTCACATCCCTGCTGCAGCAATATCTACTTCCAGATACAAAACCCTACCCTTTTAACAATACCTGGTCATATCCCCATTAACTAAGTGAAACTTTGTTAAGTGTTTCTTCTAGGTTTTCCTTCTCTTCCTGCTTTGAGCATTAATCCATCTGTCACAGATAATTTCTCATTGTGATCTCGTGCGATTTCTTTCTATTCTTGTAGAATGTTCCTCCTGCAATACTTCTGAAGTTCTTGCGGGAACACCGATCAGAATGGGCAGACAGTAGCATTGATGCTTACTCCGCTGTTGCTGTTAAAGCTGGTCCTTGTAGTTTGCCAGTGTCTCGAACTGGAAGTTTTGGTGGGCAGGTTATTCTTCCATTGGCTCACACCATTGAGCATGAAGAGGCAAGTTCCTTGGTTCTAATGTACCGTTGTTGGCATATTGTTTCTCCAACTTGTCATGTTCTGTTCTACAATCTATGGGCATGTTGACTTAGTTTTATTTTCTACGACAGTTCATGGAAGTCATTAAGCTGGAAAATATGGATCACTATCGAGAGGACATGATTATGCCTAATGACATATTCCTTTTGCAAGTAAGCCATTCTCTTTTATTGTTTTAATTTGATTCATACATTATTTTCTGTACTTATACTGGTGTATGAGATAAATTCTGTCTATATACTGATGTATAAGATAACTCTGTGTATACATTGAAATTGTCCTTTTGTATATAAGGTATATCATGAAGCAACTTATGACTGTATGTTTACATTCTGGCCTGAGTAGCTGAAACATGGTTTCTATTTAATTTTTAAACAATTGCACTCGTAGACTAAATGATGCCCACTATTCCTTAATTCATTATCGTAAAAAGTTGGATTGCTGTCTTTCCAGGAGAATAGTACAGGTTCAAGTAGTTATTTCTTCTATTAGATCTATTATTTTGACTCGAGAGTATGGAATACTTGATAGTTTTATACAAAATGTCTATGTTTCACTCTTTCTGGCTATTTCTCCCCCAGCTTTGCAGCGGAGTGGATGAGAATGCCATCGGCACCTGTGCAGAACTCATCTTTGCTCCAATTGATGCCTCTTTCTCGGATGATGCTGGTGCACCTCTTCTACCATCTGGTTTCCGCATCATTCCTCTTGATTCTGGAGCTGTAAGCATCATCTTTTTCTGGTGTTATCAGAGCATGTAGATTCTATTTGACTTGTATCTGTTGGGATTATACCTTAATGTTCACGTTATAATGCAGGATGCCTCTAGTCCAAATCGTACACTTGACCTAGCATCTGCTCTTGAGGTTGGACCAGCTGGAAACAAGGCATCTGGTAGTAGCTCCAGACACTGTGGGAGTGCAAAATCAGTTATGACAATAGCATTTCAGTTTGCATATGAAACCCACCTTCAAGAAAATGTAGCTGCTATGGCTCGGCAGTATTTGAGAAGTATTATATCCTCTGTTCAGAGGGTGGCATTGGCACTCGCTCCTTCTGGTTTTGGTTCCCACGTTGGTTTGCGGCCAACACCAGGAACTCCTGAGGCGCAGACACTTACTCGTTGGATCTGTCAAAGCTATAGGTGTGCTTCTTGAATAATCTCTCATGCAACTGTACAGAAACTATCTCTGGTTATGAACCTTGACCAAGTTACTTTAGTTCATTATGGTGGATCTTCTGCCATAATTTATGATAAATGGTTGAATTTTATACTATTACAAGAACGACAAGAAAAACATTGCATACCATGGTTTTATCTGCATATCAGCTAGAATAAGCAATGACTACGAGGAAACCGATATTTTCAGTCGTTTGTTAAATCGTTAAGTGAAACTGAAGTGGCTAAGTTTAGTTTGTCTTCCTCTTTTTGATAATTTAAGACATGCAGATTGAAATGTTTGGTTATGAACTTTTCTCTGTGGAGCAGATCACTTATTTGGTGATGGATTTTATTCTTGTCTGAAAATATTTCATCACAAGCTTTACAATCATTAGCTATCTTTCTGTCTCACATGGAGGTATTCACTAGTACTTCCAACTGAAATTCGTCTACCGTTGGATATTTTATTAGCGGTGAATGCATTTTGTACCTGTGCATAGGTGGCTGCAACTTATGGGCTTGTCTTTTCAGTTAAAAGATAAGCATTCAATGGGTAGCCTAAGATTTGTTGGCTGACTACACAGGTCTATGATAACTAGTTGTGGACATGTCATTAGTGAAACTACTAAACTCGCAATTTTTTTTTGATGAACACACAAGGGGATACATGTATTATATTTTGAACAACCTTTTGTAATTTAAAGTTGTCAAACTTCATGCTGATGAAAGGGAAGCCTCATGGTCGGAAAAGTTTGCAATGATCAGCTGCATCTTCATTGCTCTTCTTACCGGTTATTGAACAGTCAGACTTCACTGTAGAATCCCTTCATGGGTAATATGGGTAAAGGCACTGCCCAGGCAAAGATTAGTCCGAGATAAGTCGTCATACATTAGTTGAGGCCTCAACTTGTGACGTGGATTTGGTTTGTTCAGAGAGGGTGGTCTGGCATAAACATGGAAAATGCTGATAGTGTTCGATGTACTTTTATCGGATTGTTTTATTTGTATAAGAATCAATTGAGTGCCCGGAGATTCATGCGAGTTGTAGCTCCCAACTGAACTATTAACAGTTGATTTTGATACCTTCTAATTATCAAGCAGTATTTTCTAAAATATGACACGGTTGTCCAGGTAAAATATTAAAAGTATACGTACTTGTATAGGCCATGCCTTGCCAAGGGATGCAAGTCACCCTTGTAGATTGAATGCCTTGACAGTTTCGCTTTGAAGTGTTTCATCATCCATAACCCTGCTTATTCATTTGAGCTATCTGGATTTTCCATGCCTCGTACAAACCAAATTAAGTATATAGAAAATAACAAGAAATCCGAAAAACGAAAGATTTTTATTCTTGCTTCATATTATTCTTGCTTNTATACGTACTTGTATAGGCCATGCCTTGCCAAGGGATGCAAGTCACCCTTGTAGATTGAATGCCTTGACAGTTTCGCTTTGAAGTGTTTCATCATCCATAACCCTCTGCTTATTCATTTGAGCTATCTGGATTTTCCATGCCTCGTACTAACCAAATTAAGTATATAGAAAATAACAAGAAATCCGAAAAACTAAAGATTTTTATTCTTGCTTCATATTATCTATTATCTAAATCCCTGGAAAACTGTGTTTTTAAAGTGAGGCAAAAGAGTTGACATGCCCACTTTTTTGTTGTCATAATATCTTTCTGTAATGACTCATGCTGTAGACTTATTGTTCATATTTTTAATAGGTACTTTTTAGGTGCGGAGCTACTCAAAGCCGTTAGTGATGGAAGTGAAACCATCCTCAAAACAATTTGGCATCACCCGGATGCTGTGATGTGTTGCTCTTTGAAGGTGATCTTTTGGACAATTCTTCTATAATTTGGAGCAAATTTCTCTGCTGTTATTGGACAAGTTATACATTCTACATGTTCTTCCTTTATAAATTTAAATGTTTTTTATTTTTATAAAAATGATCACTGCATTTTCTAAATATAGCCATGAAGTTATACTTGTCCACCTGTTTAAAAATAGAGGGTTTACGTTGCATGCTGAAAGAAGTGCAACAGGAACCACAAAGCTTGCATGTTTTATGAACATTCTGTTACAACACATCAACTCTAAATATCTGATCATTGGGTCCACACTTGCAGTGAGTTAATTGAAGCTATAAGACGTGGGTAATAGCCGCTAGGCCTGCTAACAATTTAAAGGGCTATTCATATGAGACATATTGGTAATAAGTGAGATAAGTCCCATTTTTATCTGGGAGGATTTCTATGGATTCAAGTTCTCAACCTATACCTTTATGATTGGAGCTTTTACTTTGCTTATGTCATAGATGAAATGAAATAGGGGAAACTACAAAGGTGGACCCTTTGCCGACTGGCTTGATAGTTATTCCATTAGATAAGGGGAAAGGTTTTGATTTGAACGTTAACACAAGCTTCTCATGTTGTCCTTCCATTTTTACTTTTACACAGAACAAGACGATCCTCAACTGGACAACACTTGCAAGAAAAGGACTTACGATTAAAACTTGATTCAATCATTCAAATGAGATTTCTCTGCTATCAATTGAATTAGTTTCTTAAGGTGGAACATCAATACTTAAATTTTTTGCTATTTTCATTTTTTGGTACAACTTTAATTTTTTGAGGGCCAGCAATTGCTAATGGAGGATAGTAACATGTAATACTATAAACTTACCTGTATGAGCAATACAATCACAACTCTGGTTTGTTTTGGTTGTGGTCATAGGGAACTACTGGAACTCACCATTGCCTTACTGTATTTAGTTGGTTTTTGCATATTACAGACCTGTGTATATAAACTATCATTTACGGTTTTATAATTATTTCTTGGCTGATACAAAGATCCTGTATACTTATTTATGATTTATGCAGGAATTGCCGATTTTCACATTTGCAAATCAGGGGGGACTTGATATGCTGGAGACAACCTTGGTTGCACTTCAAGACATTACATTGGAAAAGATTTTTGATGATCATGGCAGAAAAACTTTATATGCCGAGTTCCCCCAGATTATGCAGCAGGTTTACTTCTTTGATTTGCGAAAATTTAAATAAGTTTTTTGCTCAAGGCAATTTGGTTCCCATCTGTTGAATGATTCTTATGTGTGTGAACTAAGGCTGTGCTCAGACATTGTGCTCATAAAGATTAACATGGACCATGGTTATGTAATTAAGTAGTGCCTATATAGTGGCAAGGCTGGAGCCTGTAGTAGGAGGCAACATGAACAATTGGTGTGGGGAAGCATAAATTGGAAAAGAAACGAGAGAAATAACACATATAAAACTTAGCATGTCACACAGAAAAACTCGAATTAGAACTATATTGATTTGTTCTTTTTGAGAAGTTTCATTTTTCTTGTACTTTCTTGGCAGGGTTTTACTTGTTTTCAAAGTGGTATCTGCTTGTCAAGCATGGGGAGGCCGGTCTCTTATGAGAGAGCAGTAGCTTGGAAGGTGTTGGATGAGGAAGAGAATGCTCACTGCATCTGCTTCATGTTTATCAACTGGTCTTTTGTTTGACTCTCTGAACAGTATGTAGGATTTAGAACAAAGCTATAGATTAGAGCATCTATTTTTCCTTTGTACCTCAAATTCTATAATATTTAAGCAATCTGCAGGCAACTGGAGTTATTTTTTGTCATGAATACACTTGTGGCTTGTTTATCCTTGTGGATTTTGTGCTTCTGATCTTTTGCATAATCTGTTTGCAATTCTCTCATTATGGATTTCACATCATGCCTTGTGCATGTATCATGTATGATAGTCTTTTACTTTACGCTTGTTGGTTGGTCTGGGGCCATGGATTTATGTGTCATACAACACTAGGTGCTGGTGATTTGTTCTGCTCTATAAACAGGACAGAGGCTTGTCCTGTCCATATATCTTCTTGTTGCCCATCTTCCTCAGCTACCGGAAGGTCGGCTGAAACATCAAAAATAATATTAGATATGCATTAACTGTACCTCTAGGTTTTAAGCTAGATTACCTGTACATGTTTAGCCAGATTAAATCCAGGTTCAATGATCAGTAGGAATCCCAGGTGAGAAGCTCATTAGTGGAATGTTATTTCACATGCATGATCTGTTTAATGTGAATAATCATCGATCTATTATTTTGGAGGGATTGATTCTTTGACACGATGTATTAATGTCAATAATCCTCTGTCCAGTAGTTTCTTTCCCAACCACCTTTATTGTCAGAATATGTATGCACATCAAAGCTTATAATGATCGGCTGTTTGTTTCTCTGCATTTTAGCGTGTTGGTCGGGCACAATTTTCTTGTCCTTTCATGAATAATTGTTTGCATAAGAATGTCATTTGTTGATGTCAGGCACTCTTGTGGCTCGCGAGAAGGAAAAAAGACTCTTTCTTTGTTGCATCTGGCATGAGGTGATAATGTTGGGATTTAACACGATTTAAATCCACTAACAAACACACACAATCGAAGAACAAATCAAGAATATAAAGCAATAAGAAACAAGAAAGAACAAGACACAGATTTTACGTGGTTCGGCAATTTGCCTACGTCCACGAAGCTGCAGGGATTTCACTATTGAGAGAGTTGAATACAGAGAGCGGCTGTACAATCCACGATTAACCCTAATCAACAAAACAACAGGGTTTATATGTCCTACGCACTGCGCTGTATAACGGGCCCAAAATTTTTTTTCCTCGGGGGCGTTGCCTCCGAACCCCCACGAGGCTTGTCCATGAGCGCTACGGCTTGGGCCTATCGGCCCAAGCCTTCGCTCCATGAACTAAGCCTCAGAATATTTTCTATTAAAAACCACACAACATTACTTCGGGTCGGGTCATCATCCGGATCACATATACAAACTAGACTCCATAAAAAAAAACCAACAATTCTCCCACTTGGAGACTAGTTCAAACACCAACATCAAACTTCAATCCTTCCAAAACACAATCTCTCATCCCCCTGCAGCTCTTCCTCTTGTCCTCAAGCTAAGAGACCTATAGAAGCTGAACAAGATTTCAGCTTCTCCACAGTAACCACTTTCGTAAACATATCTGCCGGATTATCCCTTGTGTGAATCTTCTCCAAAGTGAACTCCCCATCCTCCAACAAAGAGCGAATAAA